AAGAGTCTAGTTCTCATGTGAGGGACTGTGCCTCGGTCACAAATGAAGGTTGACATTTATACTCGATGGAAATGTATAATTGAGAATCTGGGTGGTTTTCCCACCCTTCCTTCTCAGGTTGGTTTGGAAGAAATGCCCTTTAGAAATAGTGGCAAGAGTTAGCCCAAGCTGCACGTTTGGGAATTTAGAAAAGGAAGGCTGGCCCCTTGTCAGAAGTGGGGCTGGGAACTTCTAGGCTCCAATTTCCTTCTTTGTAACAACCAAATGTACCGTGACCCAGTGCCTTGGGTCTTTTCAGCCTTGAGCCAGCCCTTGAGACTTCACTGTTGACCTGGACCAGGTTACAAGAATGTGGCCATGCCTTGTAGAAAAAGGAGGAGATCCCAAAAGGCCTGGATTAGGAGCCAGAAGACTGTGTCATCTGGTCTCTTAACTCTGTGGTGGCATTTAGGTAGCCCAGTTATAACCCTCTTGGAGCCTTTGTTTTTCTCCCTGGTTAAAGTGGTATCCTCTCAGCTTCCCCGAGGGGGCACAAATGAGAAATGGACAGGAAATGTTCTGGAATCGTTGAATCAAGGACTCAAATCCTTGAAACAAGGGGAGGATGGTGTCCCTTTGAGAGCCACAGAACCCTGTCTTGGCCGAGAATGTGGGAGGTCCTGGCTCGTCTTGATGGCAGAAATAAAAGCCTGAATTGCCGTGATAAAGCTGGAAACCTTGGCAAGGGTCAGCAAGCTTAATGCACTCTTCAAAGTATTCCTGAAGGAAGGATTGGTGCTTTTCGTGATACAAAACTTCACACCATCATTTCAGATGGTTCTGGCTGGATTGCAGGTATCCATAGGTCTAGATGCATAACTGGCTCATTTATCTGGAATTATATTATTCACCCTGAATCTTTTCCTAGGAAAATTAACTTATAGTTTCACGACCTGCTATGTAAAAGTACTGTGCTTCTCTTTTTTTCTCCCTTAAGCTGTCCTGTTTTACTGTAGAAATTTCAGGAATAGTCTACTGATATCCATACTCCTTTTCTGAGTTGAAAATTTCTGCCAAGTAGTTAGCTGTTCATAGCGTGTGCTGTTTTCCCTTCCAGATCTTCTTGCTCATTGTAGTCTTTCTCTGTTCACCCTCATACTTTTCCTTGTCCTCCTTTCAGCCTGTTCACATGAAGGGCAAGACTAGTGATACTGGGTCAAATGCTACTTAAGCTTTAGGGAAGTTATCCTAATTTAGAGAGAATGGTTTGTTTTTGGAAAGTGTTTTGTCTCGAATCTGGAGGCCTAAAAAAAAACCAACTTAAAGCTATCCATGATTTATTTGCTAATAAGATGACTAATTCCTTTTTTTTTTTTTTGCGGTACGCGGGCTTCTCACTGTTGTGGCCTCTCCCGTTGCGGAGCACAGGCTCCGGATGCGCAGGCTCAGCGGCCATGGCTCACGGGCCCAGCCTCTCCGCGGCATGTGGGATCTTCCCGGACCGGGGCACGAACCTGTGTCCCCTGCATCGGCAGGCAGACTCGCAACCACTGCGCCACCAGGGAAGCCCTGACTAATTCTTTAATTGTATCAGATACCCACACAAATACATTCCAAGTGTCCACTTGAGCTCTCCTGTCCTGGCAAGTTAGGCCCATAACAAAGAGGTTTAGGGTGCCGAAGATGTACTGGCCTTCAGTTTGCATAAAATGTGCGCTCAGAGGCTTACTTGGAAGGAGCTGACCTAAGGAGGTCATGGACCATAGACTTATGAACTATTCAGGTTGTGTGTGTGTGACTTGGGGCCCTTTAAAACTATAATTAAGGAGTAGGGAATATCTTGTGGGTTTTTTACCGCCTTCTTTGGAGGAAGTTTAAGAAGGCCCTTTCTTGGTACCTCAGTAGTGGGACTCTTGAGGGGTGGAGGGTGGGTAGTGGTTGAGAAGTGAGGGGAGAACGGAGTGGTGATGGGAGGCTGCTTACCTGGGTGAGCTGAGAACACCCACATAACTTTATCATCTGCCATGTTCTCCAGCTGTGTAGAGGCTTTGGGGAGTGGAAGGTATGGTGTAGGGACTGGTTTTATAAAAACATCTTTTACTTATATGTCCTTAACCGAAACTATTTAGCAGTGATAAATACAGGCAACTAGATTTGGATCTACTGGACAGATTTTAAGAGACACAAAACAGTTTGTGAATTCCCATTGATCTAATCTGGGCTGTTCAACATAGTGATAGCTTCACAGCATTCTCAGCGTGACAAATACTTCTGCCTTGAGACTATTTGTTAGAACCCAGTGAATTTTTAAATCTTATAGTAACAAATAAATGAATAAACACTACCCTTGATTAAAATACATAATCAATAAGTTACAAGGATGTAATGGACAGCACAGGGAATATAGTCAATATTTTATCATAACGTTGTATGGAGTATAATCTATAAAAGTAGCAAATCACAATGTTGTATACCTGAAACCAATATAATGTTATAAGTCAACTATGCTTCAATTTTAATAAAACAAACAGGGCTTCCCTGGTGGCGCAGTGGTTGGGAGTCCGCCTGCCAATGCGGGGGATGCGGGTTCGAGCCCTCATCTGGGAGGATCCCACATGCTGCAGAGCACCTAAGCCCATGCGCCACAACTACTGAACCTGCGCTCTAGAGCCTGCGAGCCACAACTGCTGAGCCCGCGTGCTGCAACTACTGAGGCCCACGTGCCTAGAGCCCATGTTGTGCGGCAGGAGAAGCCACTGCAATGAGGAGCCTGCGCACCACAACAAAGAGTGGCCCCCGCTCACTGCAAGTAGAGAAAGCCCGCGCTCAGCAACGAAGACCCAACGCAGCCAAAAATAAATAAATTAAAAATAATAATAATAAACAAAACCTCATGCTCCTCCAGTGATACCAAACTGTTTCCTTTTTGAACTTTCACATTTTGCATTGAAATTTTAGAAGAATCAATGTTTATTAACTGCAGCCCCCCCCCCAATAAAAAAACCCATTTTGTTCTAGAGGTCAGAGAAGAGTGGCTACCATTTGACATGGTGGTCTTAGAACCCCCGTTACCTTGGCTAGGATTCCAGCTCTGCCCTTAACACAGTTACTTCTTTAAATCTGTTTCCTCAGGTATAAAATGGTAATAAAAATAACAATACCTACTTCAGAGGCTCCCTGTATCAAGATAATGCACCGTGCCGGAGAAGCAATACTTCTTTGGGATTCTTTTCTGAGGATGAAGTCTCAGCTGTAGAATTAACCTGATAAGAAAATTCTTTTTTTTTTTTTTTAATTTGTTTTTGGCTGCATTGGGTCTTTGTTGCTGTGCACGGGTTTTTCTCTAGTTGCGGCGAGCGGGGGCTACTCTTTGTTGCAGTGCGCGGGCTTCTCATTGCAGTGGCTTCTCTTGCTGCAGAGCACGGGCTCTAGGCGCCTGGGCTTCATTAGTTGCAGCACGTGGGCTCAGTAGTTGTTGCATGTGGGCCCTAGAGCTCGTGGGCTTCAGTAGTTGTGGCACGTGGGTTCAGTAGTTGTGGCACACGGGTGTAGTTGCTCTGCGGCATGTGGGATCTTCCCGGACCAGGGCTCAAACCCGTGTCCCCTGCATTGGCAGGCGGATTCTTAACAACTGTGCCACCAGGGAGGTCCCAACCTGATAAGAAAATTCTATACCGAGTATTGCCATTCCACTTTTTGGGGTTGTCTTTTCATGTCAAGCTTATCTAACTGGTTGTTCTTGGGCCATCTGTCTCACTAGTGTTAGAACTCTGCAGTTACAACCCCAGCAAACCATCTCATTACTCTTTCTTTGTTCTGTTGCCCACAGCCTGAAATCTATTCTTGGCCTTTGATATTTCACTAAAATGTCATTTTCATTTCTCTTTTCCTTCTTGCTATAAACAGCAGGGATCTTAAGAATACAGTTTGACTTTTGACAAATATAATATACCCATGAAACCTCATCCATATCAAGACATACACAGTATATTTCTATACCCAAGAAGGCCCCTCCTAACTCTCTCCATTCAAAACCCCTACCCCTATCACTTTCAGATTTCTAGGGCCTAGATTAATTTTGCCTTCTTGAACCTAACATAAATGGAGTTTGAGGTCTCTCTCTCCCTCACTACACTGTTGTTGCTCGTAGCAGTAGTTTTCCTCTTTATTGCTAGGGGTTGTTCCAGTGTATGAATATAGCACAGTTTCATAATCCATTCGTCTGTTGATGACATTTTGGTTGGTCTCAGTTGTGGGCGATTTGGATGAAGCTGGTGTGAAGCTGGTTTCATCTCTCTGAACATTCAGTGTGGTTAGTGTCTCCTCCACCTCCTAACCCTGCAGCCCTGGGCAAGTGTCTTAATCTTTCTGCCTTGGTTTCCTCATCTGTAAAATGGAAGGTCAGGAAACAATTCAAGGTTGTGGCCACCATTTTTAAAAAATAGAGTAAAATAGGGGATCAAAGTGAATGACATGGAACTGCACATGTTGCAACTCACATAAATACAGTTATGTGTGTGTGCAGGTATGTACATAATAACAAATATAAACTGTATCTGTTACTATGAATTGTGAGCACATCCGTTTGCAGCACACTGATTTGTATATGTCCTTGTGTAAGCAAGGAAGTTGAAGCACCTGTGAATTATCTAGTTAATGCGTATCTTTGCCCTCCGGTGTCCAAAACAGCCACAGCGTTAAGGGTCATTTATACACAGCTCGCTATAGGCCAGCCACTGTTTTAAAAGCTTACATATAAAGGCATATAGCTCTCACAACCGTCCTATGAAGTGGGTTATTATCCGCATTTTACAGATGGAAAAGCTGAGACATTGGTTATACAACTTGCCCAAGGTCACAGAACTTGAATCTAGGATGATAAGGCCATGATTTGAACCCAGGCGGTGCAAGTCTAGAATCTGTGCTCTAAACCACTATTCTGGCAAGTGACATGTGAGCAAATGCAATTAATAATAATCTAATCAATACAATGCTCCTCTCTTTTATTTCAGATATGAGAAATGAGTGTTGGACGTCGAAGAATAAAGTTGTTGGGAATCCTGATGATGGTAAATGTCTTCATTTATTTGATTGTGGAAGTCTCCAAAAGCAGTAGCCAAGAAAAAAATGGAAAAGGGGAAGTAATAATACCCAAAGAAAAGTTCTGGAAGATATCTGACCCTCCCAAGGCATATTGGAACAGGGAACAAGAAAAGCTGAACAGGAAGTACAATCCCATTTTGAACATGTTAGCCAACCAGACAGGGGAAGCATACGGATTTTCCAACATAAGCCATCTGAATTATTGTGAACCTGACCTGAGGGTCACGTCAGTAGTTTCAGGTTTCGACAGTTTGCCAGACAGATTTAAAGACTTTCTGTTGTATTTGAGATGTCGAAATTATTCATTGCTTATAGATCAACCTGATAAGTGTGCAAAGAAGCCCTTCTTATTGCTGGCGATTAAGTCCCTTACTTCACATTTCGACAGAAGGCAAGCGATTCGGGAATCTTGGGGCAAAGAAACCAATGTGGGGAACCAAACAGTGGTGCGAGTCTTCTTACTGGGCCAGACCTCCCCAGAGGACAACCATCCTGACCTTTCAGATATGCTGAAATTTGAGAGTGAGAAACACCAAGACATTCTTATGTGGAACTACAGAGACACCTTCTTCAACTTATCTCTGAAAGAAGTACTCTTTCTCAGGTGGGTGAGCACTTCCTGCCCAAATGCTGAGTTCGTGTTCAAGGGTGATGATGATGTTTTTGTGAACACCCATCACATCCTGAATTACTTGAATAGCTTATCCAAGAACAAAGTCAAAGATTTGTTTATAGGTGATGTGATTCACAATGCTGGACCTCATCGTGATAAGAAACTCAAGTACTACATCCCGGAAGTTGTTTACACTGGCATCTACCCACCTTATGCAGGGGGAGGTGGATTCCTGTACTCTGGCCACCTGGCCCTGAGGCTATACAATGTAACTGACCAGGTCCTTCTCTACCCCATTGATGATGTTTATACTGGAATGTGCCTTCAGAAACTTGGCCTCGTTCCAGAGAAACACAAAGGCTTCAGGACATTTGATATAGAAGAGAAAAACAGGAATAACATTTGTTCCTATGTAGGTTTGATGTTGGTACATAGTAGAAAACCTCAAGAGATGATTAATATTTGGTCTCGGTTGCAAAATGCTCATTTAAGTTGCTGAATTATGTACAAAACTAAATTTTGCATAGAAAGGTGTATCTCGAATAGTTCCCATGTTGTGTTCTCTCACATTAGAGGTAATTTCTATGTAAAACCATCAAAACTGCCTTTATGAGTAGTAGCCATATGAGGGCCTCTAAACCTTTCAATGTAGTACTTTCTGAAGAGGGAAAGCAGAAGATCCTAATTTTTATGTAGGATATGACAGGATGAATGGTTCTGACCCTTCCTGCTGGCTAGTGGTCATTATTTTCTAACTTGTCCCCCTTGTCATCTGAAATCGTGTTTCTGGAATCTGATCGTGTTAAGTTATTTTTGTTTTGCCCTCATATAATGGTAATCCTATTTCCCATTATAATGAGTGAATTATCTGCAATTTAGGAATTCATAAACCTACTGGCTACAAAGACACTGTTATATATGACTCAATGCTTTTTGTGAAATGGAATTACATTTATTTTCATGAAATTTGGATGAAATTTTTAAATAGTCTGGAAAAGTTAACTTCTGTTGAAATTTCCTGCTGCCCCAACATTTCCTTGGGTTAATCTTATCAGTCAGTTTTGCAAAATGGGAATCACCGTGTGACATTCATCCAGTTTATCTTGTTATGGTCTTTTGGTCATAATAAGGAGAAAGCTTAACTATCTTATATTTCATTTGCTGGGTGGTATCGTCATAGTTCTCTCTTTTTTAGTATTTGAAAATAATGAGTATGATTCCATAATCTTCAAACTGAAGATTGAATTGACCCTGGTAACCATATTGTGTTTATGATTTTTCATTGTGGACCAGGAAAGCATATGTAACTTTTGAACTTTAAGTGAAAAGATTGAAGTTGCAGACCTTTTTATCAGTGGTTTGTCAGTTTAAAACTGCAGAATTCTATTCTTGCCACATGATTACGTGTTGCTTATACAAAATTATTATCCTGAGTAGTGACTGCTTTCCTGTCTCAGTGTAGAAGTGCCTGTGTTTTTATTTATTGTTCAGATCAAATACCAAAACATTTTCTTAAATATATTTTGTGTAATATTTTATTTGTATACAGTGTTGTTGGTTATTTAACTAGAGCATGGTATTTTAAGTAGTAAGTATAACATATGTTAAATAAAGTTAATTGTTATTTTTGAATTAGAAATTTTTTTGGGGGGATAAGAACTAGAATTCTGCCAAACTGTTGCTTATATATACTGTCTTGTAACGTGCTTTCTTGAGACATTTTTGTGTTATAGATATGAAGATTCTTACCAGATGTGATACTGGGGACTGTAAGAAGATGGAAATAAAGTCACCATATTTTTAATTGTCACGTGTAATGTGTAACCTATAATCTCTGTTTCCAGCATTTAATTACATTTTCCCCAAAGAGGCCATTTTTCCCCCCAGAAACTATTACAGTAATATTGAACTATACCTTTTCATCTGTCTTTGTATTTAAAATTCTTAAAAGTGCTTTCCCATGTAGAGTCTTTAGGGAGGAGTATGAATACTTATTTACGCTTCCACTTTCAGTGAGTATAAAGGATTTAACTCTTTATACTCACTGAAAATGGAGTGAGTGGAATGGAGCAGCGTCTTAAAGATTGTATCATCCTAAGCCATGTCCATTTTGGGGTTTGTATCCACGGTGATGAGACATAGAGCAGCTTTGACCACTCAAGTTTCTTTCCTAGACTTTTATTGAGAAGAAACTGCTAAAGCTCAATTAAAATCAAGTAGGCATTGGATGAAGCTCAAAAAACAGAAGGATTAGTGTTGTGAGAACATATAGCACACTGTCCTCTCCTAGTGGGAATGTTGAGGCCATACATGTAAGCGAGTATGAGGGCACAGATACTTGATATGATATGGGTTTGAAGATTTGTAAGCTTGGTCCTTCTAAAGGGTTCATGTGCCTGCATCTGACCTCTCTGCTCCAGTGGTTGTGAGTAGAGGGTGGTGGCCACATCACCACATCAGGTTTAGAGACGAGTAATGAAGCTCTCAGAGCATTCATAGGCATTTGGTTCACAAATTGCTTGTGTCCATGTAACTTGACCATCTGTTCTTAAGTAATAGATTTCTCCTCTGAGGAAGATTTAATTTTTTTCTTTTAGGGAGTCTCCTTCACTGAGATTTCAAGTCTACAGAGAAAGAAGAGATGTAGCAGGTTTTGAAACATGTTTGGAGGACCACTGAGGGCCTTTGGTGAGCCTCTTTTTGACATGTGCCATTATTTGAACATCAGTCCTTGGTGCTGACAATGTCTGGTGGGTGAGATGCTCTCTGGCTCTTCTTTATTTGACAGAAGCTCTCATGCAGTTGTTACCTGAGCCCACAACACTGGTCATCAACCTCATGGGATGACCCTCTTTTCAGCAAAGGGATACTAGATGTTACAGCTTTCCACATGCGTGGGCTCAGTGTTGGTACTGACTGATCCCGTGCAAGGGCTCTTGGTGCCCATGAGCTGGATTCTCACCTGAGCTTCTATCTCTTGGATGTAAGCATCACAGCCTAATTCATTCTTGGAGAACTGTTCAATAACTGAGGCCTCAGTGGAAACTGCTTTTTGGACCTTTTTTCATGGTTACTCCCAAGTCATGTTGTTTTTGAGTTTGAGGGTTTGTGAGTTTGAGGGTCAAAAAGGCTAAATGAGCATTGCCAGAGTTTGGACTTTTCATAAACCCAACCACACCTTAAGAGGAAAAGGATGAAAGAGACCAGAATAGCTCATTTCCATCCCTGACCCTCATTTCCTTTCTTGAGTTGGTTGAGAGAGAATGGAAAAGAAGGGCAGGAAGTTTGAGTCTCACTTGAAGTTGAATCCAGAATTAAAGGCACCCAAAGTGTGACCACCTCCTACTTTTCTACTCCTGATTGGTGTGCTCTGGAAGTCTGATGTTCTGGGTTATCTTGTTTCCCTTAGATGCAGGAAGGGAGAAAGCATTGATGAAGGTAAAGGATGGCTTATTTTCACTTCCAGGAAAGCTGAAATGAAAGAAGCCTTTACTTGGGCCAAAAGTTAACTTTTCTGTGATTTGCCTTAAGAAAAATGTCAGATGAAGTAAAAATTCTTGTTTAGAACAGGAAAGTAAATACTTCATGTGCTGGGCTGTCTAGATTATAGGATAAATTCATTTTTCCTTTATGTTAATTCTATATTTGTTTTATTTTTTAAATGCTAGGGTCATCTGCCAAGTAATTTTGAAACTGAGCTTTACCTAATTAGGGTTAACAATCTGAAAAATTAAAATATTTATCATGATTTATTTAGGTCTCAGTACACTTGAAAGTTTTTTTGCCCTTAATATCTTTTCTTTTATAAATGTATTTATTTATTTATTTATTTACTTATTTATTTATTTATTTATTTTTGGCTGCGTTGGGTCTTCATTGCTGTGCGTGGGCTTTCTCTGGTTGCGGCGAGTGGGGGCTACTCTTCACTGTGGTGTGCGGGCTTCTCATTGCGGTGGCTTCTCTTGTTGCGGAGCACAAGCTCTAGGCGCGCGTGCTTCAGTAGTTGTAGCTCGCAGCCTCCGTAGTTGTGGCTCACGGGATCCAGAGCGCAGGCTCAGTAGTTGTGGTGCATGGGCTTAGTTGCTCCATGGCATGTGGGATCTTCCCGGACCAGGGCTCGAACCTGTGTCCACTGCATTGGCAGGTGGATTCTTAACCACTGCACCACCAGGGAAGCCCACCCTTAATATCTTGAAAGGTAGAGGCCAAGAATGAGGCACTTTTGTCTTTAAGGAGGCCCTAAAATCTTGTTTGTTCACATCACATATGAAATTCCATATTTATTAATTGTAAGATTCAGTACTTTGTATATACCACTAAAAAGCCCAATATGATTTGTATCAATTGTACAATATGTGCCTCAATTGTGGGGGTGTTAAAAAATGAACTATTACATCTTAGAATAATTGAAGTACTGCATTAGTGTGTGTATATGTGTGTGTGTGTGTGTGTGTGTGTGTGTGTGTGTGTGTGTGTGTATGCCCTTAAATGGAAAGATGAAGCCTCATTTAGGTTTATTTGAAAGATGGAGCCCTGTTTGGGTTCATTTCCTGCTTCTCTCACTTTAATCTGTGTTTAGGAATTTTCACCCAAGCAACCATAGTAGTGGCTTCTGAGCTTTGGCAGTTGTTTTCTTCCTGTCTGTTGTGCATTGTGAAAGGGAATGTATTGATTGCGCTGAAGCAGCAGAAGTAGAGTTTTTAATTTGATTGTAATCCAAGGGCTTATTTCGAAGTCAGGGGCCAGGCGGTTGAACAATGGTGCTTGCAGCTTCCCAACAGCTGCCCTGTATCAGGGAAATGCTCTTTCATCCTACGCAAGCAATAAGCCGACCACATGAAGAACTTGCATCCTCAGTGTCAGCATGGGCTCACTCATTGCTCTGGAATCCTACCATCCTGTATACAGCCCGTCGCTAGCCTGTCTTCAACTAACACTCTCTTCTAGCTCATCATCCAGGCCCTTCCCCAAATTGGCTTTCCTAACCATTCTATTGAAAGGCCATCAGTAACTCTGATCCTGGTACCAACTTCAACCACCTCTTCTTTTAAAATAATTTTATCAAAATAAAAAGATATTATCCTACCCTTGGTTGGGGTTCTTCCAGAAACAGATCTTAAAGAGGAGGATTCTAGCTCAAGTTAGTGTTTTGGGAAGTGCAGGTGCATGGTCCATGGTGAAGTGATGTTGGGAAGGCAGACAGCCAATAGGAGTGTGTGTTAAGCCAACGGGCACCATGGAACTGGAGCTCAGCCCCTGGGGCATCTCTGAAGAACAGTCAGAAAACTTGCGTCAGAAGGACCCCTCCTCCATCCCTGGGGGGGGAGGGGCTGGGCTATTTTTTGTAATAGTTCTATTGAGACATTCAAGTGTGCTATGATTTTGAGTAGATTAGGGTTGTGCTGTAACTATCATTACAGTCCATGACAGAAACAATTTAGTTTTCAGTCATAACTGTTCTGTTACTTAGCCCTTTACAGAAATTATTTATTTTGGCTA